TTCAGGGCAGCGGGGACCTGGACAGTGGGACCTCTGAGACCCTGCAGGGCAGCGGGAGCCGTGGGCGCTGGGGCGGGGGTCTCTGAGGGAGGGTCCCGGCTCTTCCTAGCAGCACCCCACAGTGCGAGGGGCCACAATTCTAGATGGTTTCGCTTTGCATGAGAGAAAAAAAATGTTCTGGGCCCGCAGCTAACTCCGTGAGAACCAGCGCTGCTGACACGTGTCCAACGGGCAGAGCCAGGCGCCAAGGGCCCTCACTGGCCGCGTCCACGAGACACGTGCGCAGGAAGCCACTCTGAGCCCGCCTCTGCTGCATCCCGGCTCACACGTGTGGGAGGGGGGCGTGTGGATCCATGTGCACGTCAAAGCTTGGTCACGTGTGCATGCATGGGCCGAGTGTGAGTCGGTGTGTCTGACTCCACACGCGCTAGTGGCGTGCCGAGGGCGTGCGGGTGAATATCACGCATGTGAGTGTGTGAGTGGGGTAGGTGTGAGCGTGTGTGGGCATGTGGATATGGGCATGAGAGCGTGAATGGGCGTGTGCATTGTGCATATGTGAGTAAGAGTGTGTGCATTGCGCATGTGTGTCTAAGAGCGTGTGCACTGTGCGTGTGTGCATATGAGCGTGTGCACTGTGTGCATACATGTGTGTGAATTTCTGTGTAGGCATGTAGGAGAGAGAGAGAGAGAGAGAGAGAGAGAGAGAGAGAGAATGTGTGTGTGTGCGTTGGGGGGGGAATGTGTGTGTGTGTGTGTGTGTGTGTGTGTGTGTGTGTGTGTGTGTGTGTGTGAGTCCCAGCACAGACACTAAGAGGCGTCCAGCAGCCCACAGCGGAGAGCAGGGCCGTTGGTGGACATGGGCCTGTGAGCACAGTGAGTCTGCAGTGAGTCTGGGGGTGGGAACACCGTGCCGGGGCTGGGGACACCGGGGCCGGGCCTGCCCATCACCATGAGCCTCTCGGCCCCTGAGAACCGGGTCTGGGCGGGGCCCTGAGGCAGAGGGGCCGGTGCTGCCGCCCAGACGCAGCGCCCACTCTGCCACCAGAGGGCAGCACTTCCCCACAGCCTGTCCTCCGGTGCACTGCTGGGCACCCCTCTGCAGGCTCAGGAGACAGTGCTCTGGGGGCCTGGCTGCAGCCACGAGCTGCCTGGGCACATACGGAGACTCCCACCAGGCCCCGGCCGACGAGGGGCCAGGAGGAGAGGGCAGGGTGCAGACCGTGGGGCCACAGCCGAGACCAGCACCCGCGGGCGACAGGGAGCCACAGGGGCCTGAGGGCACAGAGAGAGAGGACATGAGCAGGGGGCACTGCCTGGAGGGCGACCCGGCCCGGCCCTGAACACACAGCAGGGTGCAGGACTCGCCGCCCGTCCTCAGGCCCAGGTGGCCGCAGGACCCCGTGTCCTGCCCGGCGTGGTCACCCCATCTCTGCCAGGCCTCCCATGGGCAGCGTCCCGGGTGGCAGCGCGCTGGCTCGGGCTGCTGAGAGGACAGGAGGGGTCCCCACTGCTCGGGTCGCCCCCCCACCCGCCACTCCCAGTGCCCGGTGGGGACCCCGCCCCCCTCTGAAGCAGCCGGGCCCGCCCACGACGTGCAGGGCAGGGGCAGGAGCGGGCCTGCGGCGCCACCTCCTGGCCGGGACCGGAACTGCAACCAGTGGTTTTCCTGGGCAGTGGGGGCCACCCACCGGCCACACACTGGCCACCCACTGGCCACCCACCGGCATGGGCCACCCAAGCAGGGCGCCCAAAGAGGAGGGGCTGTAGAAAGCAAGCGAAGCACCAGGGTCACCCCCCTGGGGAGGCGGAGGCAGGGCTGAGTGACCGGCCAGCCTGGCCCTGGCCCTGGCCCTGGCCGTCCTGGTGAGGGTCACTGTGGTCGCCTCGGGCCTCTGGGGCCTGACTTCCTGTCCGCTGTGTGTGAGGGGGAGGCCTGGGTGCCTGACTTGGGGAGACCCTCCCCAAGCCCTGCGGGGGTCCCCAGGACGGGCTGCTCCTACCGCTGGGGTCTGGGCCTGAGGAGGGGAGGGGTCCTGGGGTCCCGTGGCTGCTGCTCCCCACTCTGGTGGGCTTTCAGCTGTCTCTCTTCCTTTTGTTTTCTGTTTGCCCTCCTGTCCCCCACTCCTGCCTCTGGGGGTCCCACACAGGGGCGGCCTGGAAACCTGGCCGGACACATTGTGAGCCCAGGGCCCTGTCCAGCCGGTCAGCCGGGCCCGCGGCACGTCCTGGCACGCACAGGTGAGGCAGCCCCACTGGGCCCCGCGGACGCCCTCCCGGCCTCCCCGCCCAGGGCCTCTCCCCCCACCAGCGCTGCCCTACCGGGCGGGGCTGAGGCCACATGACCCGGACCTCTGCCTGCCCGCCCTGTTCCCCACTCCTGCCAGACCGTCTGCCCGTCTGCTGGAGCCCCCGGGAAACTCAGTGAGTGCAGGGCTGGGGAGAGGCACCAGGGCGGGAGAAGGACCCCGGGGCCCACCCCCCCCCCCTCCGGCTGCTGAGGGGGCACGTTCAGGCCACTGGACCCCAGAGCCCAGCCGCGGTGGGCAGGACCCCGGCTTATCTCCTTCCCGGGGACCCGCCTGCAGCCGCACCGGGCTCACCCCAATCCCCACTGTGTTTGCTGAAGAAGGGCACGGGGAGGGGGGGACCTGGGGGGGAGGGGTGATGCTCCCTCAGGGGGTGGTGTTGGGGGCCCTGCCCAGGGTCCCTGGGAGGAGCACTCTCCACGAGCACCCGCCCTGTTCCCCGGCGCCCCAACACGGGCATTCAGACTTGGGGGAGGGGAAGGGCATCCCTGGAACCCCCGCCCCTGGAGTCCCTCTGCAGACCCCATGTCCCCGTGGAGGGCGGGTTGGGGGTGGCCTGAGCTGTAGCTGAGCCCCCGTGGCCGGGTGGATTAGGACCATCTCACTGCCGGGGTGGAGCCGCTGTCCGGGCACACGGACCCCAAAGGGTCAACGCAGACGCTGCCCTGGGCCTGGGCCCCGGCGCCAGCAAGGGCCCAGGTCAGCTGGGAGCTGGAACCAGAAACCCAGAAGCTGGCCGGCCCCGTCCACAGCGGCCCTGGTCTTGGCCGGGCCTCAGGGATGTGCAGGGAGGAGGATGCAGCCCGCCCACCCCCCTTGTTTCCCTTCACTCCCCGCCATGCCTGAACTCAGATCCCGCATGAACACAGCGTCAGAGCACAGCCGGGGTCCGGCCGTGGCCCTGTGCTCAGGTGCCCGCGTCCCACTCGCTCACTCCCTCTGCACCCCTCCCGGCCAGGCCCCCCCCCACCCTGCCTTCCGCAGGAGATTCCCCTCGGGCAGAGGCTGCGGCCTCGTGACGGGCGCATTATCTCATGAAAGGAAGGGGGGATGCGTGTGTGTGTGTGTGTGTGTGAGAGACTCTACATGGGTGAGTGTATGTGTGCGTGCATTCTTGTGTGTGTATGTGCACACTTGTGTGTGTGCGCCCTTCCCCACCCTTCTTGGGGGTCCCCCAGACCAGCGGGCACCCTCAGGGCTAGCCCGAGGCAGCGGCTGTGGGGGACCCCAGTGGAGATGTGGCCGTCTGTGCCCGCAGGGGCCCGGCTTGGGGGCATGACCCTTGGGCTGGCACCTCCCCCCATCAGAGTCCCTGGATGGGACAGGCCGGAGGGATGCGAAGCCCCCAGACTCAAGGGACCTGCCCCAGTGTGGGGCCCCCAGGGTGGGCCGGGCCGGAGCCGCTGATGCCCCATCGGTCCCTCTCTGGGCACTGCTGAAGGTGGCCTGAGCATGAGGTGGCGGCTCCCATGTCCCCGCTCTGCTGGGGATGAGGGGGGTCCCGTGTTGCTCTTCCTGGCCCGGGGCCGCCCCTTCCGCCTCCCTCAGCCTGGCCGGCTCGCGGCCCATTTCCCACCGTCCATGTCCTCTGGACGGGAAACCTCAAGAGGCGCCAGCCCCGGGGCTCCCCGTCAGCGACGGCCCCACTTCAAACGCCACAGAAGCTGCGCCGGGGGCACCCGCCGGGCAGAGGGGCCCGCGGTCCAGGGAGGAGGGGCAGCCGGGCCCCCCCAGGTCCCCTCCTCCCGGGCGGGGGAACATCGCCTGCCTGAGCCAGTCCCCAGTCACACACGGGCACACACACACACACGTATACATATACACATGTGCACACACACACATACACACAGATGCATGCATACATATACACACATGCACACATACACACACACCCATGCACGCACACGCACACACATGTACACATATGCACGTGCATACACACATACACATGTGTGCACACACAAGCACATACACATACACACATGTACAGACACATACACACACCCGCACACATACCCCATGCATGCATACACAGGCACACACACATATGCACATGTGCACACAAGCACACAAGCACACCCCATGCATGCACACACACGCGCGCGTGCACGCACACACCCCTGCGGCTTCCCCAGGTGCTGTCCAGAGGTCTCCGCATTTGGAGGTCTCTGGACACAGAGATCTGGGGTCACTGAGGGCCTGGTTGCAGCCCAACCCCAGGCAGACCCCCAGGAAAGAGAACGAGGGGCCCTAGCTGTGAGCCCCGGTGCAGGCAGGACCCTTGGACACAGGCGGGGACTCTACGGGGGGGGGGGGGTGGTCGGAGCCCACCTGCTCCGGGATTGCGTGCCTGTCCCCTGGAGCCTGTTCGTCTGTCCCTCTGGGAACTGTCCAACTTGCCCTCCTGGGTCTTTCTGTCCATCTCCCCCAGAGATATCCGCTGTCTGCCTGGGGACTCTCTGTCTGTCCCTCCTGGTGACCGTCTAGCTCCCTGAGGGACTGTCCTTCTGTCCCCCTGGTGACTGTCCATCTGTCCCTTGGTGACCGTTCGTCTGTCCCCCTGGTGACTGTCCATCTGTTCCTGGTGACAGTCTGTGTCCCTGGGGACTGTCCATCCGTCCATCTCCTGGGGTCTGTCCGTCTGGCCCTGGTGCCACCGCTGACCGCTGACCGGTGTCGCTGTTGCAGGCGGCCATGGGGAAGAAGCTGGACCTGTCCCAGCTCACGGACGCGGAGGCCGAGCACGTGTGGGGCGTGATCCAGCGGGACCTGGCGCTGCGCAGGGCGGAGGAGCAGCGGCTGCGGTGAGTGCCCCGAGGGCCGCCCTGCCCTCTAGCCGGCTGGGACAGGTGTCAGGGTGTCAGGTGTTGGGTGTCAGGTCTCGGGTTGTTGGGTGTAGGGGTGCGGGGGTGTCAGGGTGTCTGGGGGTTGAGGTGTCAGGGTGTGGGGTTTGGGGGCGCCGGGGTCGGGGATCAGGTGGGGCAGAGGCCCCGCCCTTCCAGCCTGCCCTTTGCAGCCCCCTGCCCGCTGTCCTGGGCTCCCTGGGGCCCTGTGAGATCTGCATAGGGTGGGGGAGGCGGGGAGGGCTGGTGATGGCCCCGCAGGCGTGGGCGCCTCCCAGGGAGGGCCAGGAAGTGGCTGGAGTTGAGGTGTCCAGTCTGTTTGCTGTCGGGGAGGGGACCCCGCGGCCCTGGCACCCGGCTTCCTGCCCGCCCTGCTCTGAACATGCCAACACCACGCCCGGGTCAGAGTCCAGAGCTGGGGGGTTGTTCCTGGAACTGCCCAGAACTTGCCCGTCCCCCGCCCAGTCCGTCCAGTCCTGCTCCCGGAAGCCCAGGCCAGGCCACCTGCCCGCATGGCCACCTCTCTGCCGGCCAACTCCAGCCTTGCCCTCGCTGGGTCCGACCTGCTGCCCCTCCCCAGGCTCCTGCCTGACAGGAGGCTAGCAGTGTCCTCACTGCACGGGAACATGCACACATCAGTGATGTGTTTGCAGCCCCCCAGAGAAAAGGCAGGCGTGAGGGGGCTCTGACCCCAGAGATAGATCCCACGCCCCAGTGTGCCAGGGCCCGGGAAGCCCCCTGCCTGCTGCAGCTTTGCCTGAGGGGCGAAAAGAGCTGGGGTTGACCCTGAGCACAGAGCCAGGAGTCAGCCCCGAGCACAGAGCCGGGAGTCAGCCCCGAGCACAGAGCCGGGAGTCAGCTCCGAGCACAGAGCTGGGAATGATCATGACCAGAACCCAGTGTGGCCCAAAAACAAACCCAAAAAAGACGCCAGGGTCAGGGACAGACAGTGGAGCCACGGGCAGGTGTCACGGCAGGTGTGGGTGCCCTGAGACCCCATAGGTTACCCCTGGGTGCTCCATGGCTCGTGAATGACCTATGACCCCAGGAGTACCCTGTGATCCCGTGGATGCCTTGCGACCCTCTGAGTGTCTCGGGACCTTGTGGGTGCCCTGTGACCCTGTGGGTGACCTATGACCGTGGGTGCCCCGTGACCCAGGGGTGCCTGTGTCCCGGGGGTGTCCTGCAGGTCAGAGCTGTGTGCAGGGGCAGGGTGAGGAGGGGGCGGGAGTGGGGAGCGGGGCAGGGGAGGTTGTGTGTTCCCCCCACCCCCGGTCCTGAGACAGCCAGGCTGGAGCTCGACGCGCTGCCTGGCTTCTGGGGTCCTCCCGCCTTGCTCCCACGGGCCCTGGGCTGGGTCCGAGCCGGTGCCTGAGACCACCATCCCGACAGTGCCCGGCTCGTGGGCCCCCTCGAGAGGGAGGCCATCACCGATGGCCGTGCTCACCCAGCGGGACCCTCACAGCACCAGACCCCCACCTGTCCTCGGCACCCGCCCCGCTGTGTGGGCAGGTCCCCCCCCACTCCCCCCCACCCCGTTCCTGGCTGGTCAGTGGGGTGAAAGGTCAGCGTGTCCCAGAAGCCTGCCAGGTCGCAGACAGCTGAGGGACAAAGGGCCCTTGTCTCGACGGGCCCTCGGGCCAGAGGAGAGCACTGCCGCACCCGACCCCAGATCAGTGCGGTCAGCTGTCCGCAGGGCGCAGACGGGCCTCGTGGGCCATGACACAGGCGAGGCCGCTGTCCCACCAGGAGGGGGGAGCCGCACCGGGCGCCGACTTAGCTGCCGTCCAAAAACACACGGGGCTGCCGGCAGCACCGGGCCCACGGCTGCCGCTGTCCAGTGCTCGGCTCGGGACGAGGGCCTGGAGACCCCCAGGGCCTGCAGTCCTGGGCCGTTCCCAGGAGGGTTCTATGGAGACGGGGCTGTGACCCCAGCCAAGGCCAGCGGCGACTTCACTCTGAGGAGCTGGAGGCGTTGCTGGCGCCCTCGGCGCTGACTCCATCTGCCGGAAGCCCTTCTCCAACACCTGAGACGAGGACCAGGAAGCGTGGAACCTACAGGCCCGCCCCGCCCGCGCTGCCCAAGCGGCTCTGAGGCCCCAAGGAAAGGGGTTCGGGCGTCTGGGCCACAGCACAGAGGGAGAGCGTCTGCCTCACACGCAGCCGGCAGGTCCCATCCCCGGCGTCCCAGGTGGTCCCCAGGGTGATTCCTGAGTGCGGAGCCAGGAGCCGGCCCTGAGCATCACCAGGTGTGACCTCGGCCTGGCTGAATGATGGGGAAGATGGACCGTGCTCCTCTCCAAACTTCAAGATAGCCCGTTGGAAAATTGGAGTTTAAGATCCCACTGACAGTGAGAGGATTCGGTCCCCTCGCCCGCTGCCCACTGCCGCCCAAACACTCCAGAGACACAAGCGCCGTGTCTGGGATTGACCTCTGACTCTAGGTCAGTGGCCCACAGTGACCGGGGACTGACCTCCGTCCCCAGGCCCGTCCCAGGGGCTCATGAGAACAGACAAATCCTCACGTGAGACTGTTCAGACAGGGCTCATCCCCACGATATGGGCAGCGCCGGCTCTTCCTCAGTGGACAGTCCTTAAGGCCCCGACCGACAGTCCCCGACAGCGCAGTCTCCCACCCGGCCTCACTGCCTCGGGAAGGGGGTCGTCTCGCGTGGTGGGAAATGGGGGCTCCGTGGGGCTCCGGGTGGCAGCCTTGGACCAGGGAGAGGCTAGCCTCAGCGTTACTTTAATCGCAATATTGCAAATGTCAAGCTTGAAGGCGTGAAAGTCCCCAGAAGGACACCGGGTAAACGTGTGTGAACCTGGGGTGAAAGTCAAGGGCTCAGCCGCAGACGGACACGCCGGCGTTGGATGCTTTTGTTGGTTCTGTTCGGGGCACACTCGGTGACACCAGGGCTCACCCCTGGCTCTGCACCCGGGATCTCCCCTGTAGGGGGGCAAGGACCCAGCAAGGGCCCTCCCTGCTGGGCCATGGCTCTGCCCCAAGGCTGAGTTTTTCAGTTAAAGAAACTGTCCCAGAATCCCGGCCTGCCCGGGAGGCACGAAAGTCACAGTGAAACTTTCCAGATTCAGGAAATGTGTGAATTGCAATGTTAATCAAGCAAGAAATCCATCAAATAGGAAATACATGTGGGCCTCCGTGGGGAGGCCGCTGGCCTGGCACACAACTCACCAGGTCCAACCCTGGCACTGCACAGGGTCCCCCGAGCCCTGCCAGGAGGGAGCCCTGAGCACAGAGCCAGGAGTGATCCCCGAGCACAGAGTTGGGAGTCAGCCCTGAGCACAGAGCCAGGAGTGATCCCCAAGCACAGAGCTGGGAGTCAGCCCCGAGCACAGAGCCAGGAGTGAGCCCTGAGCACAGAGCTGGGAGTCAGTCCTGAGCACAGAGCCGGGAGTGATCCCCAAGCACAGAGCTGGGAGTCAGCCCCGAGCACAGAGCCAGGAGTGAGCCCTGAGCACAGAGCTGGGAGTCAGTCCTGAGCACAGAGCCGGGAGTAGCCCTGAGCACAGAGCTGAGAGTCAGTCCTGAGCACAGAGCCGAGAGTGAGCTCTGAGCACAGAGCCAGGAGTGACCCTGAGCACAGAGCTGGGAGTCAGCCCCGAGCACAGAGCCGGGAGTGAGCCCTGAGCACAGAGCTGGGAGTCAGCCCTGAGCACAGAGCCAAGAGTGAGCCCTGAGCACAGAGCCGGGAGTGAACCCTGAGCACAGAGCCAGGAGTAGCTGTGAGCACAGAGCTGGGAGTCAGTCCTGAGCACAGAGCCAGGAGTCAGCCCTGAGCACAGAGCCGGGAGTGATCCTAAGCACAGAGCTGGGAGTCAGCCCCGAGCACAGAGCTGGGAGTGAGCCCTGAGCACAGAGCTGGGAGTCAGCCCCGAGCACAGAGCCAGGAGTAGCTGTGAGCACAGAGCCGGGAGTCAGTCCTGAGCAGAGAGCCAGGAGTCATCCCTGAGCACAGAACCTGGAGTCAACCCTGAGCACAGAGCCGGGAGTCAACCCTGAGCACAGAGCCAGGAGTGACCCTGAGTACTGAGCTGGGAGTCAGTCCCGAGCACAGAGCCAAGAGTGAGCCCTGAGCACAGAGCCAGGGGTCAGCCTGAGCTCCCCAGGTGTGGCCCTGCCCCCGATATATATCCAGAAGAAACACACGAAACTCACAACCCCGAGGAAAGTCTGGAAGAGGAAGAAGAGTCAGAGGCGGCCGCGAGGCGAGCTCAGGGTCTTCACCATTTCCCATGGTCAGGCCCACCCGGGAGGCCTGGCTCGGGGTGAGGGACGCCAGGTGACCTGAGAGGACGCTCAGGGGTCCCCCCACCTCTGAAGCAGCTGCCCGAGGAGGACCCTGGAGGACGGACAGGCCCAGCGTCAGCGCAGAGGCCGCGGGTCACCTCAGTCTCTCCCCCACTCTGCAGGGGCGAGTCTTCGGGGCAGGGGTTCCCAGGGCGAGGGAGGGCGTTCCATGGCCCGGGGGTCCTCCCACGGCGGGCGTTGGGGGTGTCCCACAGCCCGGGAGTTTCCATGGCCCTGGGGTCCCACATGGTGCCCAGCAGTGACCAGAGTGGGCAGGGCCTCTCTCTCGGCCCGAGGGACAGCGGGCGGACCCGGGCGGGCTGGGCAGAGCATCCTGGCCAAGAGCGCACAGCAGCCCTGCCCCCGCAGTCACAGGACGGTCACGCGCCGCGGCGGCCAGCCCAGCAGGCGGACGGGAAGTGCGGCCAGTGCCCGGCCGGCCCAGCTGCTGCGTGTCAGTCCGTCACTGCCCCCAGCTGGGCCTCAGGGACACGGCACCCTGGACGCTTCTCCCGCCAGCCTGGACGCCAGGTGCTGCCCCAGGCCCACGGCCCCCCCAGGCTGAGCAAACACCGTCCCCGTCACTGCCCAGCACCCCAGGGCGGCCTTCACTCTGTTACTGATTTATCAATAGCATACATTATTGATGAAT